TGTAATGTGTATAAAGCACCAAGAATTTGCAAATGGACACAACCAACAGAGTGAAAAGGCCACCTAGGGAATAAACAATTTGCAAATCAGATATCTGATATGGAGTTACTATCCAAATCCATAAAGATCTCCTACAAGTCAACAACAAAAATCAAATTACTCAATTGAAAAATGGGCAAAGGACCTGAATAAACATTTCTCCAAAGAGGATATGCAAGTGGCCATCAAGCAGATGAAAAGATGTTCCATATCACCAGTTATTAGGGTAATGCAAGTCAAACCCCAACTGCATCCATTAAGGTAGCTACTACCAGAAATTAAAAATAAACCAAAAAAAATTCAGCAAATAAAAGTACTGCACTGGTGAGGATGTGAGAAATTGGAAGCTCTAATGTGCTGTTGGTGGAAATGTAAAACATAGCCACCATGTTATAGAAAATAGTGTTCCAGTTCCTCAAAAACATTAAAAACGAAATATTTAGATGATCCCGAAATGAATTCTAACTCTATACCCAAAACAATTGGAAGAAGGGTCTCAGAGATATCTGTACACCCATGTTCATAGCAGCATTATTCACAATAATCCAAAGATGAAAGCAACTCAAGTGTCCACCTGTGGTACAGATGAACAAAATAGGATATATAAATTTTGGGGTTTTTTTTTTGTTTGTTTTATTTTGGGTTTTTTTGGTACTGGGGATCGAACTTGGGTCCCTGCGCTTGAGAGGCAGGCGGCAGAACCTCTGAGCTAAATCCCCAGCCCAGGATATATACATTTGATAGAACAGTATTATGCAGTCCCCAAAAGGAAAGAAAATCTGATCGATGCCACAACATGATGAACTTTGAGGATATTCTGCTAGGTGAAAGGAGCCAGTCACCGAGAGTTATACACTGTCTGATTCCAGTTCTATGAGGTCCCTAGGGTAGTCAAGTTCACAGAAGCAGAGAGTAAAAATGGTGGCTGCCAAGGGCTGTTTGGAGGGGAAATGGGGAATTGTTTAATGGGCACAGAGTTTCAGTTTTGCAAGATGAAAAAATTCTAGACATTAGTTTCATAACAATGTGAATGTATTTAACGCCACTGTTCTGCATCCTTAAAATAGGTTAAGATATTTTGTGTTTGTTTTTTGTTTTTGAGATAGGGTCTCACTGTGTAGTCCAGGTTGGTCTTGAACTAACCATGTAGCCCAGGCTGGCCCTGCATTCACGACGATTCTCCTGCCCTCAGCCTCCCAAGTGCCTGGATTACAGGCAGGCACCACCACACTCAGCTAAGACACTATATTTTATGTTGTGCGTATTTAATAAATTTTTAAAAGTATCTGGAAGTGTGGTTCTTAAATTTTAGGAAGTGAAAGTGCTTGTTAAACATGCAGGTTACAGTGCCCCTTCCCTACAGCTTCTGGTTCCTTGAAGTCTGGATACCAATCCCTGTAATGTGCATTTTTATAAACACCCCAGCTATAGTTACCTCATTAAGAATTCACTTGTTTCTTTTAAAGGATCAGGGGTGTTCTTTTGAACATTTTGCCCTGCTGATCTGTAAAGTATTGGAGAGGGAGTACATGTGCATGTGTCTGTATTTATATCATTATCCATATCTATGAAGAATAAACTCATGAAGATCTTATCCACAGGCCCAAGGATCCTCCATCCTCAGGGGACCATGAGCTATAAAACTCTTGTGAGGCTCTGGGCTTCAGGCCCATGGGGCTCTCACATTTCTAGCTGGACAAACTCTGCATCTTGCCAGAAGCGTGTCAAGTAAAGCAAACACTGCCACAGGATGTCCCAACAAGGGAGGTAATGCAATGCACACACTGCAGTGGCTTTGCTTCCCAGGCAGCTGGAGAGAGATCTGACTCAAGCAAGGCCGCTGCAGCAGCTCAGACACCGGAGGAAAAGCACAATTCCCAAGGGCAGCCCAGTGAGTGGAAGGTCAAGGAGAGCCCTGGGGCCAGGAAAAGAGGTCAGCAACGCCCCAGGAGGAAGAGGCAGCTCACTCCAGGCCCCATGCCTCCCCTTCACCACTCAACTGGCAAAGAAGGCTCTCCTCACTCAGCCACAGCCCACTAACCAGTGTCTTCAGCCCAAACACATAAAGCCATAGTCATTTGTTATCTTCATCGCCATAAGAGCACCTTTGACATTTCCCATGCTCAACTCCAACACCTTCATTACTTGGCAGTGTGGCAAGGATGCCACTCTAGGGGCACAAATCATGGAGCACTTCCAAGCTGCTACTGCAGAGGATCCCCGGCTACTTGGATTCTGACCCCAGAGAAGCAGATCTGCCACAAAATGGTTAGAGATTAAACTCTGGGCCCCTCCCCTACCTCTCCCAAGGCCTTGAGAGGGCATCCAGCAATGAATGTGTCCACACAGTTGTATGGTTTTATAACACATACCAAACCAAGATATTCTTCAATTCTATTTTTTGATAGCCTGGTCACTATCAACAAACTGTGTTTAAGTATCAGACCCACAAAACCAGATGGGTGTGGTGGCGCACACCTGTAATCCCAACACTCTGGGAGGCTGAGGTAGGAGGATTGCAAATTCTAGCCCACCCTGGGCAATTTAGGGAGACTCTATCTCAAAATTTACAAATTTTAAAAGGGCTGGGATGTAGCTCTGTGCAAAGGTCCCAGGTTCAATCCCCAGTTGAAAAACAAAACCTAGATCTGTTGCTGGGTGCTGGATCTCACTTAAATTTCATGATGAAGTCACAACTATGAGTTTGTTCAGCCTTCCTGACCTCCCCTCTGTGGTAGGTATTTATTTGTAAGCCACTTCCACAATTAAGAAAATGGGATTCAGAAAGGTTCCAGGACTTCTCTAGGTTACCTGAGGGCCAGGAGGTGGCCTGAGATTCAAATCTAGGCCCCCAAATCCAAGCCCAGTGTTCACTGGACTGTATCACTATTCCTACTTGCCTTGATAAGAGCAAAATAATAACCGCAAACAGAAAGGCCCTCTAAATATAAACAAACAAACAAAAGGGCTTTCTTTTGGATTAGTTCATTGACAAACTTAAAAATAACCACTAACTTTTATTGATCATTTGTCACACGGCAAGCACCAAGGTACAACTGGAGCTCAGACATCACAGGGAAACCACAATTCCCAAGGGCGGCCCAGTGCAATACTTTACCTAGCATCAAAATCCTAGGACCTTAGATACAGTCATTAGCTTCACTCTATAGATGAGGAAACAGACTCAGAAAGGTTCTTTAACTTGCTCAACAACACACAGGAAGTAGGAAGGCCAGGACTTACGCTGAGCTCTAATTCTAAAGTCCCTGCTTCTAACTGTAGTACAATATTCTACAAGTGGAGAAGGCCAACTGGGTGCAGGATGCAGGTAGGGCAGGGAAAGTGCCTTGAGCCTACATCAGGGACCTAAAAGCTAGAAGGAAGGAATGACAAACGTGAATTAGAGAAATGGTTTTAGGTTCAAATGAACTGGTAGTTGCCACATCAACTGCTCTACATGGATCTTGATGCCTTGGACCTTCCAGAAGCCCGGATTCTAGAGCCCCCACTTAAATATTCTGAGCATGGCACAATTCCTCAAAGCACCCCACACAACTTCCAGCCAGCAAGAAAGGTGTCACCATCTCCTGTAACAAACCTTCCTAGCACAGAGTTTTTCAGTTAGTCTAGGTTTCTGCAGAGCTTATCTTCTAACTTTCCTAAGTCTTTTCTGCTGTTGCTGATAAGATTTGCCAGCCCTGTTAAAATGAGATGATATCCAGCCAGCTGTCCAGAAATGTGCAATGAGATTATTCTGAGAAAGAACCACCAGAGACAAAGGCCTCTAAAGAGGAGCTGGCCTGCTGTCTGCTTCTGTGGCTGAAATCCAAGGGCTCTGGACCTTGGGCGGGGGCAGGGAACAGAGAAGAGGCAATAGCCATTTGCCTTGTTCCCTCCTGTGGTCTTTCGCTGCACCCCACTAAATTCGGGACTGGGACTGGAATGTGCCTTTGGTGGGGAGAAAGGCAAATAATTTAGGAACGAACAGTAGTGTGCTGGTAACAAAGAGGACAAAGATACTTCTGGTGTTCCACTGTAGCTGTCTCTGAGGGTCTGATGTTCCCTGGTGCTATGCCCCAGCTTGTGTTCCAGCGCCTCATGGTGCACTGGGATCACTGCATGCTCATTGGCATGCCCACCATCCTTCCTGGACTGGTACTCTGGGCCTGGAGTGCCCACACCTGGGCATCTCACCTTGCAGACAGGTGCCCTAGGATCTAGGTGTCCTCTCGTCTGTGCCCAAGTAACGAAGTGGCCAGCACCCCAGAGGATGCCTAAGGGTCAGGTGCATGCTGATCTGCATCCACGTGACCGCCAAGAGCTGGACCCCAGGCCCAGCCGGTCAAAAGACTGTCCCCAGCCTGTGTCCAGGTGGACCGCCTGGCCTCTCCTCCGGGGAGGGCAGAGGTGGCTCTAGGAACCCCTCCCCTGCCCAGGTCTGGGGGCACTGCTGCCACTAGGGTCCCTGGTCCCCCCACCCCCGCCTCCCGCCCACGAGGCCGAGCCCGGGACCAGCAGCCACGGTCTCTGGGCCCTGCAGAGGCGGCCTGGGCCTGTCCCCGGCGGGCCGGGCACCTAGCCCGCAGGCCTTGGCTCAGCGCGGCGGCGGCTGCTCCCGCCCCCCGGCCCAGCCCGGCCAGCGCCCGCCCGTCCTCCGGTCCGCCCGGCGGCGCTCGGG